CCAACTGTCACCACAGACAAGCACTCGGATACTAGAAAACAGATTATTGGCCAGTTAATATAGATACAACTACAGTGCACACACTTACAAACCATAAATGTTTTTCCTTAGGGAGTGAACTTGACTCTCTGACCTTTACACTCCAGGCCATCCACACACACACACCCTGCCCTTCAGTCCACGCAGTCTTAACTTTATCTCGGATGTCCACACCTTGCATTCCAAGTCTCTTGTCTATCTATAGACTTTAGCCTTCCAAGCTCAGCAAACAGCCAGGGTGAGAACAAGGCCAGCCATTAGTCCAACATGCCCTAGAGTGCTAAAAGAGGACAAGAGAGAGAGAGACACACACACACAGGAAGACACTGATAGATTTATGGTAATAACACACTCACTCTGTTGACCATGCAAGGGCAGGGGACTTGGATAAGTCACCAAACACTAGACTCCAACATCTGATGTCTGAGGTTCAAGGCTTGATGAGTCTGTGTGTTTGTGACCATAAAGTGTACTTTTATTACTTTATTCAACAGATGACCAGGACCACATGAAATCTGAGCCCACAGATTTCCAGAAAGCTGGAAACAACCATTATTCAAAACGTTTTACTGCCACTAGTTGTACAGCATTTGTTTGTTTAATACATTACTATTTTTCATAATAAGAACGGAAACACCTTAAAAGCGCAACAAATTTATGTGGGAAGCAAGTTGCCAATGGTGAAATAAATGAACTTTCATAATGATAATATTAATAATTCTGATTTTTAATCAGCATTTTGTAATGTTCAGTAAAAATTTTAAAATGTATTTATTTATTTATTTGTTCGTTCATTCATTCAATCAATCATTTAGTTTTAATGCAATTATCTACACATATCAAAAGTCATTAAAAATGATTTTTGGTCCACTACCAATAAAAGTACAGTACTCTCAGTTAATATTAAAATATTTTACTATATTTAATTCCATTCAGCAGAAATCCAGATTTTTTTCCCCAAAAATCTGCACAGAAAATGCGGAAAAAGTCTGCGTTCGGTTTGCATAAGCAGATGGCTAACCTATTGACCTCTTTGAAAGTATTATGTGACTCAGACAGGTTTTATTGGGCTAAGTGACAACTTAATAAAAGTCATTTGTCATTGGTCTTTTAAATATGTGAACCTATAATGTTCATTAATGCTCACAGAAGGTATTCGACTGTATATACAGTATGTTCAAAAAATGACACGTCTCTCCAGGGCCTCGCACCACTGGTGAGAAAAAGAGAGAGAGAGTGAGTCCGTATGTGACGTACTTACGGACCATTCGAGTGACACGCCTTCTCAGAATTCAACATGCCTCATTCAAGCAGGCTGTTATCTCCAAACAGGGCTCAGTGGGGGCTGTGGGCTCTGTTTATTCAAACCTAAAGGGCATTGCAATCTCCACAACAAAGTGTTCACCTGGGATCAATCAGTTAGCTTATTAAAACACTAACATATTCAAATGCTGCTGCTTCTGCTGCTATTTTATACTGTGCGTGTGTGTGTGTGTGTGTGTGTGTTTGTGTGTTTGTGTGTGTGTGTTTCCCTTGCACCATTTGTGATTAATTATCCCACACAAATCTAATCATAGAACACACATGGTTGCTCCTAACTATCTATCTGTTGTCCTGTGCTTGAGGGGGAAAAACAACAATGAAGAGACTGATTCCACCTTTAATGAGATTGGAGTCAGCATACAAGTTCTTGTGGCATTGCTCGACCCCCGTTCAGCAAGCAGGTGTCCATTTCTAATGACTCCAGGAGCCTGACAGCCTGCCGTTAAAGAAAGTGAGACACAGAGTGAGAGAGAGAGAGGAGAAAAACATGTTGGATGTGGCTCACTGGAATTAGGATAAAATGACACTTGACCAATTGACCCCACAAACCTTTGGGCAGGCCTCTCAGGGTCAAAGGTTGAGCTTGGTGTGACGTCTGAGTGCTAAGTCCCTATAACCTCTTATCCAAACCCATGGATAAACAATTGTCTCTGATCTTTCATGTCTCCTTGAGATCAAATTGATGTGGAGGTTGCGTCTTTGTGTAAATTGCCACGTGAGGCTGTTCTGTAAGAGCCGTGAGAGTAGTTTACGTTCAGATGATGTGCTGTAAATCTGAGCTTGGTTAACTGCCACATACTTTGAGAGCGGGTGCGAGGTGGTCATTGTCCATTAAGGTGCACTTACTTTGTGCCCACTCACCTCACACCGCACAATTAATAGGGCAAAGCCAAGCTGAAGTAAAGGAAATGAGGCAAAGCTAGTTCAACACACAAGATGGGCACTGGTGATGAGGCATTCGTGTCTAGCAGTACCACAAACTCTCAAACCAACTGGAAAGTTGACAACGTGTAATGTTTAAACAACCGAGTCAACCTCTGTTTAGACAGCGGTACAGTCCTCTTGGCAACCTCATGCTGAACAGCCCAGAGCAGAATGCCTGCCAGCGGGCCATAAACACAAGGAACTTTTGATCAGAAGACCAATTTGCACGGCCAAGTCCACACAGACACAAAACTAAAACAAACCATGCACCTCAGTTTTTTGAGACTCACATTTTCCAAGTTTCTGGAGATCTCTCAACTACAAAACACTGGGGAAAGGGAAAAGAAGAATATTTGGGGATACTGGGATTAGATTTTTATAACAGTGAGAACATATCATTTTTCCTGGAAGCCGTCAATCTTGTTGTGTTTTGTTATCTGTTTATATATTGTTGTATTAGTTGCTAGTTTGATTTTTGACAGGCCATGACAGGAATAGTTCATCCAAAAATGAAAATTCCTGAAAATGTACTCACCCTCATGTCGTTCCAAACCTGTATAACTTATATTCTTTCATGAAACACAAAAGGAGAAGTTTAGTTGAATGTCCAAGCTGTTCACTTCCATACAATGAAAGTGGATGGAGACCAGGAGCTGCAAAAAGAGAAAAAAGTGTCATTATGATGGTAGTCCATACAACTTTTTCATTAAATTTACAAAGGTTCACAAATAGCTTTGTGTAAAAGAAAAAAAAAAGAAATTGAAATTTGTTTTATTCCATGAAAATGTTACCATGATAATACAGCCATGGTCAATTCAAGTAAGTCATACAGGATTTGAAAGACATGAGGGTGAGATATGATGACAGAATTATCATAAATACAGCATTAAATCTACAAAAAATGGAGGGACTTTCAGTGCATGGGTTTATTCGAGCACTCATTTTTCAGACATGAAGAGAAAGTCAGTGATTTGTTTTATTTGCCTGTAGTGTGGCATTGTTTGAGTAGAGTGACACATTGTCTTGACAAGAGCCAGATGAATAAAATGGGAATGATTGGGTAGGGAGGGGTTGAAGTTTTGCGTCTTTCCCACCTGCCAAAACACAATAGGCCTCTCTAAACACAAGTGGCTATTTCTTTCTTGTGTTTGAAGAGGAATCTTAAAGAAACACATCTCAGCCTGGTTTTATGGATTTGCGCTAGACAAAGGAGAAAATTTGAGTGTGCATTACTATAAACAACACTCAGTTTGTGGTCAAGGTTTTATTCTGCTACAAAACTAAGTTTCTGTTCATGTTGCTAATGCTGAACAGGTAAATGTAGGCAATATTTTTGCTGCATATAAAAGAGATAAGCAAAATAAAGGCAGTTTCAGAAGTGATGTTCCATCTGCGTATGTGGTAAAGCTGCTCTTCTTACTTATAGAACAGGTAAGGTAACACTTTTCAGGTCACTTGGTCACATGACCCCAGAGATTTGCAGAGCAGCCTGGAGGCCCTCCCACGCCCATAGGCTAAACACACCATTTCTGAACCACGCAAACACAGTAGCGGGCAAAGGAACGGGGGGGAGGGGAGAGGTGCCACGAGTCCAGAGCTGCTCAGTACGACCGTTCAAATTTTTTGACATGCATACACCCAGCGGAGTTCAAGCAAATGAGAGTTAAACACCATCACGGCTTTAGTACGATACTCTGAGCTGTGTAAGTGTGTGTGTGTGTGTGTGTGTGTCAAATGCAATACAATTTTCCTATACAAACAATCAATTAATTAATTAATTGAAAGACAAAAATGCAGAGAGAAATCTTTGCCACCAGACACAGGTATATACTTAAATTTTTTTATTAATTGTTTTCAATAAAGGGACAAAATTGGTTGGTGAACAGGATAATGTAGACAACTGCCAGAAAATACAGACAGTGGTTTCTCCAATAAAACTCAACATAGACCAGAAACAAAAACAACAAAAAAGCAAGTCTGTCAATGACCTTTGGTCATTCTTTTCTTTAAAAGAAAAAAAAAATGAAAACAAACCAACAAAAAAGGATCCATTCTATGTCTCCGTTTTGAACAGAGTATTTAAGCAATAATAAATAGTGACTCCCATTGAAAAAGATAAAGTTCAAGTTCAAGTTACAACAAACAGCTCTCATAACAGGAATAGAAAAGGCTGATAACAAAATATTCCGCATTGCCATTTACAAAAGAGTATGAACTTAAGTGGGCAGCTCCTTTAGTTCCATTTCATTTTTAAATATGCTTTGCATATGAAAGTCGTCCCAATCTAAATATAAAGCACCATTTAATATTTGGCAATGAAAAAAAACACCTGCAAAACATTGATTATTTGAATTCATTTATTTGAATGATTTTTGTTTGTTTATTTACTGGTATTTTACTGCATATGAAGTTAGCTTTTTTTTCAAGATGCTGGAATGTATTCAGGTGAGACAGGTGAAAAGACAGAAGCACACTACAGAACAACCCAACATTAGCTTGCTGTACTGCATACAGAATGGCAGCAGAGGAGATTTTTAAAAAGAAGAACAGAAAAAAAGATATGTACAACCACCTGTTTTAGCTAGTGCGGACATTCTCAAAAGACTCCTCGGGGAAACCATTGAATGGCCTCCTTTGTACAATGCCACATACTTAAAATTTTTTATTTGATTTTTTTTTTTTTCATTTTCTTTTTTTAAACATACAAATAATTCGCACTATATTATCCTGCCAAATTAAAAAAATATACCGTGGCAGCTTGTTGTTTTTTTCCACTACCAAAAAAGGTACAATAATACCTTTTGAGAGAACAAGCAACAGTTAAAAATACAAGCCTCAATATAAATACTGTAGTACCTACACTAGGTGAACATTTAATTCAAATACCATTCTAGAAATACAGAAGAAAGTAGACCATAAATGTGTTTTAGCATAGGAACTGACATGATGTGCATTTTCCTATATTTAAGTTTCTCTATTATATATTTTATATATAATCTTAAACCTTTCCCCAATGCAAGTTTGACCTGAAGAGCTGTGAAGAGCCAAGATGAAAAAAGAAAGAAAAAGCCGGGGAAAAAAATCACAGATTTTTCCCATTTTATATATATTGTGATCAAGTCTTGAACACCACCAAGACAAAGAGGAAAAAAGAAATAACAAACTTAAATTCAGTTTCCCCTAAGATAATGAAATGTTACTTTTTAAAAAAGTCATTTTATTTTCATACTTAAAAAAAAGATTTGTACAAAAAAAGTTCTTGCAGTGAAAGCAGCAAGTTTCAATTGTCCGTACTTTGTCAAGCACTGTGTGCTTTGACACAATAATATTATATCGGAGGTGGGCTTTATCTTCATGAGGTGAGAGGAGGAGTTGGCTTTTTTACATTAAACAATGACACCATGTTCGATTCATTAGGACGTTTTCCCTCTCGTGAATATCTGTAAACTGGGAAACTTTAACAGTGCACTTCGTTGTCCAACAAGCAAGCAATCTTAATTTATATTCAACTACTATACCTCCAATTAGCATGTCTAATATAAAAAAGGGCAGAGTGGCAGGTGCTGTCTAAACACCAAAAAACGTTGTCTAGAGTCATTGATGTCATAATGCAACAATGAAAAAGAGTCTCCTTGAATGTCAACTTATACCACACCATGTGTGAAACTCATATAAAACAAAGGAACAAAAGTGACGAGTATGGTTTTCCCTCTCACTGTGTCTCGCTCTTGCTCAGTAAGTCTTTCAGGTTCATTTAGTCTTTTAGGGAGCTCAGACATAGGCAATAATAAAGAAATAAGATTTTGACTCAGACCTGTAGGCAATTCATAGTTAATCATCACTGACAGCTGCAAATATTTCAATGCTTTCTTAATAACCAATTCTCAAGTATACATTACATTAGTTTGCTCCAAATGCCCTAAGGTGTTCCTTCGCAACGGACGTTCACACTAACAATGGTCATCAAAGAAACATCAAAATGTTGTGCTACTGAAGAGAAGACTTGAACAAACACAGAAAAGTCAAATGATTGTGGACTGAAACCTAGTACCGCCAAGTACAGTACCTTCAGATAGAAGAAGTAAACGAGGCTGAATCCCATACCATATACTGCATGTGCCATGCCCAGGACATAAACCACGATGGAAGGATACGTTTTACGTAGGTACCTAATGGTGATTAACTAGAAATTTCCTTAGCTTTTTGATTATTATTATTTCTCTCTAAAGTCACAGTTGACTGTAGCGGTAAGGTACTTGATGCAAGAACCTTCTGAGGATCCGATCGATCCTTATGTAGTATCTAGCTGAGACTCCAGAATTACAGCAGATGAGATTAACCAATGCAATTTCAAGATATCCAAGGCACTCTTTTTGTTTGTTTTACCAAATGATAGTACAAATTCAAATCTTAATGCTGTTTCCTTTTTGAGAAATCCAAAGGCTGTAATTATTTTTATTCCGTAATAGAGGCCAATTAGTATTTTAACCCTATGTGGACAGAACATCTTTTTGAAAGATTAGTTTAAGTGCGATTTCCAGCCCGCCCAAAGAGGGTTAAGCGATAGCCTGTAGTCCTCCATGTTACAACACAAAACTGTACATGATATGTATTACAGAATGTATGCAGCATGGTTGTTTTTTTCTTTTCTTTTTCTTTGATCTCAAAATAAAAATAAAAAAAATACAGAAAAAAAACATTTGTAAAATAATGAACGATAAAACAGCAACACATTTACTAAACAACTAACCAACCAGGGACAATTTATTTTTAAAATTAGCCCAAATATATCATGCATGCTGTCAAATTTTCCAAAATGGGAAAGAAAAAATAAAAAGTTCACAACATGTAAATTATTGCACAAGAGAAAGGCTCCAAGTTTGCGTCAATGCAATAGTATTGCCCCGATACAGATCATGCATTCAACGGTAAATGAAAAGGGTGTGCTGGTGGTGCCAAGCACATTGTCTTAGCCTCCACTGGACTAGCGAAACAGGGAAATCTACAAGGATGAGGGTGGGAGTGGGGTAAGGTGTTATTCGCTGTTAACAGGCAAGTGAGCCACCACACTCCACCGCTACTCAGTTTTAATTTCGTTGTTCAATGCGCGGTCACTGTGCCATTTTTTCATGTGTTTCTCAAGGGTGCTGTACACACTAAAAGGCATCTGACAGATTTCACATTTGTAAACGTCCTTGCCCACTTGCCCGTGCGTTTTCATGTGCCGTGTTAGCTTGCTGCTCTGAGCGCAGGCATAATTACAGAGATCACACTTATAAGGCCTCTCACCCGTGTGGCTGCGCCGGTGCACAGTCAGATTACTGCAGTTTTTGAATATTTTGCCGCAGTACTCGCAGGTGTCACTGCGTCGGCCATCTTTCGAGCTGGGCCGACCATGACCCCCGAGGTGTGGCGTGCTGCCGCCACTGCCAGTCCCGCTGCGGCCCGAGACGCCGCCATCCAGGTCCCCTGGTGGCGTAGAGAAGCGCAGGCTTCCATTCTCTGAGGAGTGCTCTGAAGACGAGGCGAAAGGCGATTGTCTGGAATCCCCAAAGTTCAGAAAGGGGTCCTTCAGCTGCCGAGAAGCAGCATAGTTAGCCAACCACTGGGAATAGACATTCTCAGTGTTGGGGATTGTAGGGGTGGAGAGGTCAAAGTCCTTCTCCAGCTTGATTCGTTTGGAGAAAGGACTAAGTGAGCTAGGACTGCCCAGTAGGAGCTTCTTGGACAAACCAACAGAGGCAGACTCACTGGGGGATGAGCCTCGACCATTGATAGCTGAGCCACAGCCCTCATCCACTCTGTCTGATTCCAGAGCCGAGTCCTCATCACACATGTTCCTATGTGCATCATTGTCAGAGTTAAGGGCTCCTCGCTTGTGTTGATGAAAAGCCTCGCTGTAGTGCTGCATGCTGGCAGCCAGCCCCATGCCCTGCATAACCTCTGGCAGTGAGCGCGGGATCCCGTCCTCGCCCGCACCCAGACGTCCGCCATGGTTCTCGTGGTGCCGTGCAGCCTCGAGGTTGAGGCTGAAGTGGTAGTTGTTTCTACCTCCCTCTCTCTCCAGCTCCTCCTCCTCTCCTTCCTCCTCTTCCTCTTCCTCCTCTTCTTCCTCCTCCTCCTCCTCTTCCTCTTCCTCTTCTTCCTCTCCGTTCTCTGGAATCAGGCGGTTGTTTTCGCTTTTGAATTTGGCTACCACGGACTTGAGGGCATTACTGGCGCTACCCACCAAGTCGCTGGTTCCCGGCTCAGGGGAGCTGGCTGTGGACAAGCCATCATCGGACTTGACCGTCATGGGCGATGACTTGTTCATGTGTGTCTTCATGTGCCGCTTCAGCTTGCTGGCCTGCGTACAGGCATGGTCGCACAAGTGGCACTTGTAAGGTTTCTCACCCGTGTGACTGCGTCGATGCACGATTAAATTACTCTGGAACTTGAAGGTCTTCCCACAGAACTCACAAGACTTGCTCTTCATTGGCGTGTTGGACTGTTGTGTAAGAGGGGTTGGGGTGGACTGGGACCCAGAGGGGGACTGCATGGAAGGTAGGGGAGGGGTGGAGAGAAAGGGTGGCTTGGTTCCTGACTGGAATGGTTGTAGTAGCCGTTGCATAGGGCTGGGCCTGTTGGGTGAGAGAGGAGGAGTTGACCCTGAGGTGTTACCAGCCAGCTCCCTCAACCTACGAGAAAAGTCCATAACTGGGGGATCCATGGGTATGGGGTTGAGGCGCAGCACCCTGTCGAAGGCACTCGGGTGGTGGGTAGCCAAAGCCAGCTCCTCTGGGCTCAGGTGCTCCATGCGATGAGGGTCCAAGTGATGGCGGGGTGGAGGGCTAAAGAGAGGCGGCGTAGGGGGAAACCGACCCTCTCGGAGAGGGGGTCCATCACGTCCAGAGTTGGGTATCCGCAGTAGGTTGAATGGGCTTCCCTCTGGGAGATGGATGCCATGCAAGGGGGGCTGAGAGGAGCAATCTACACCCATTCCCAAAGGAACTCCCACACGGGGCGTGAGCGGACTTCCGCGCTCACTCTCAAGGTAGATGCGGAAGCCATGAGTGTTCTGGGCATGTTGCAGCAGAAACCAGGCACTGCTGAACGGCTGCTTACAGGTTGTGCAAGTGTAGCTGCTGGGCTCATCTTTACCTGCAAAACACATAAGAGAAGAGTTAATTCTCCAATATTAACTGCAACTCATTTAAAGGAACAATAGAATAGAATAGAATAGAATAGAATAGAATAGAACAGAATAGAACAGAATAGAATAGAATAGAATAGAATAGAATAGAACCATTAAAAGATCTCTAGATCTGCTACATGTGTTTGTTCTCATTCCCTTTCTCAGCTGCTCCCTTGTGTATTTTGGACCTACAAAAAAGCCTAAAGATTGGGTCTTAATCATTTATGAACCTCCCTCATCTCCCATCTAGACACCAGGCCTGTGCAGACCCCATGCTAACAGTCTCTCGTCGACTTTAGCCACTCAACAGGCAAAAGCAAGTATCACATAACAGTAAACACAGCTCTTATTATAAACATGTTCCCAAACAGCACTAAAGGCCAGGACCCAGTGGAGCAGAGCTTTTCACAACACAAGACCAGACAAAGCACTGGTAGCCCAGCAGAGAAAGACTGTGATGGGGTTTCGGCTGTACACCGTTCAGCTGGTTCTTGTAACAGTTGTCAGCAGGGCTATAAAAACAAACAATAGTGCTCTCTCAAGCTGAACACTTTCATCCATGTACAAAAGCAGACGAACAGGAAGCATACAGTAAACAAAATCTGGAAGGACTACAGAAATATATCCTGTAAAGGGGCAACAGAGGAAACACACATTTTGTTAAGATGTATTAAAGGTTACATTACACAAAATTCAGGTGTTTTAAGCCAGTGGAAAGCTGTAGGATAATAGTAACATTTGTTGCAAACACTTCACACAATGAAAAAAAGATTGTTTTGAAATTTTAATCCTATTTAATAAATTGTCAGCTCTTCAAATGCAAGCTCAAAAAAGATTAGTTTAAGCAACAGTTGCTTAAAACGGAAATAAAGGAATCTACCAGTAGAATAGAAAAAAAGGCAAAAAGAGAGACCATCTACTCCCTTACAACTAAAACAGTAAAGTATGTAGACAATGGTCAAAGCAAAGGAACATTTAAAACAATAATTGACTTTCAATGGCACTTTGACAATGACCGGCGATTTTCCTCCCATTGCGTTTGTAATCTCATTTAATGTTTCTGACTCCTCCACCACATCATTTAGGAGATTAAATAATAAAGGAGGCTGGAAACAAGAGCCTTTCATCATTAAACACACTGTGCTGAAGCCTGATGCAATGTTACCCATTTATGAAATATTTTTTGTCTCTGCATTTTGGAGGAACTGATACATTATATTCTTAAAAAAAAAAAAAAAAAAAAAAAAAAATTAAAAAAAAAGAAAAGCCCCAACTTTTTGTCCTTTTTAAAAAAATAAAAGTGTTATCTAGTCCAGATGAAAGCTGTCAAAAGCTACAGAACCATTTTTGATAATTGCACTGAATAAATTCCTGAAAATTTTTTTTTTATAAAGTGCTGCAAATGGCATTTGCACCAACATCAGGTAAACAAGCAGCGGGTTCAGGCTGCCTATAGTTAAAAAACACACGATTAACTCACAAATGGCAATGAAATGGATATTTTCATGAGGTAATGAGTGGCAGTTTGAACTTTGAAAATTACCAGCACTAAAAGGGATGTTACATGCAAGGTACAGATATCTACCTACGCTCCCAAAAACGCACCTCTCGCAAGCACTGGCATGTGCCATGCGGGCATTGTGCTTGGCATGCTCACAGCCAGGTTCTTCTTCTGACAAAACTGTCACAATCTGTTCTGATGACGGGAGTCGGCGAGCCACCGACAGGTGCTCCAATAATCTGCTATTAGACTCTGAAGATTTTACTGGGTGGAATTAAAAGCAGCAGCCTGCCAAAGAAATTAGCCTCCCCCTCCTTTCGGTCTAATTTTAATTTTCTCAAGAGAGTTGAAAGAGTATTCTTTGTGTCATTGACTGTCTTTTTGAGAGGAGAAGTCGAGAGCTGAGCATTCGAGACGGGTGAGCAGTAAAAGCAGACGAGGGACTCATGGGTTCACAGCTGTTTAATGTGCGCAACTACGTGGCTCGAGTCTCTCGGCCGCCGCTGGGTGCGCAAATTTGTTAACTGCAATGATAATCTGTGCCTTGACACTCTTGAGCAGTTACGAGAAGAATTCGGAAAGCGGCCTTGCTCTAATTTTCACAGATTCCTCAGTTAATTAGAAAGCTCTCCAATTTGCTGAGAAAGCGGGTCAGTTCGGACAAGCTGGCAAGCCGCGACGTTCGAGGCAGAGACTGCCGGTGACAGTTGTTGGACTGGTCTGCAGGAGCTGGCAGCGGCATGGCTACTTACAGACGGATGCGAGCGCTCAGTGCATTGCTGGCAGTTTTTACACAGGGAAATGTCAGAGCAATGTTACAGCACAGAGCCACGGGAAAACAAGAACACCCCCCATACCCCCCTCCCCTCCCAAACTGCCAACCACATCCTCACAGGACCGACTAATCCAGCTAAATCGGCACACACACACACATACACACACACGCATTAAACTGCAGTTAGATAAAGCCACACTAAATGATCTTGACAAAAAGTAAGGCTGTATTACAGAGCGGTGATGGCTTGGCAGAGAGTGACTGGTGCCCATGATGAAACCGGAGACATGGAGGAAGGAAATATGTTGTGAGCCCCCCATCCACCCAATTCCCCCCCTGCTGAGTTCTGCATCTTGCGCAGGAAAACTGTAGCACACCAAACAGATAGCTTTACAGTGCAAAAATAACCAAAAAGTGTCAAGTTATGATTTGTGCAAATTTCAGACAGCTCGTCTGGGGCGCAAAACGTATAAAATCCGCCTAGGGGACAGGTCAGCCGTATTTTATTGCAAAAGTGCACTCAAACACACACACACACACACATAACCTGTTTGTTGGTATTGGAAAGGCACTGTGTTAGTTACACAAGCGCATTTACAAATGAAAAATTATTTTACCGTCATACCAATTTCATTAAAATACACTTAAATACAGCTAAGTGCATGAAACGAATGGATTTATCTTGACTGACACACATGGATGACTGACACGTATAGATGGAGAGCGTGTATATTTGGAGTAATGTCTACAGTTGGCTTTGTTAAGAGAGCGGGGTGCATTTCTATGTGTGCCGTCTGGATCGATGGCGCTGGCAGACTAAGATGAATGCCAGATTAAAACAGCTCGGGCAGCCCAATATCCCCGACATGCAGATTCATCCATTGTTCTTCCTCCCACCACTAAAAAATCCACCTCCCTCACTCACACACGCACACAAACGGCGTTCGCGGCAAACAAAAGCACCGGATACAAACGCACTTGCGTACAGCGATTCAAAACCTCCTACATGCGAAAGCGCAGGTCATTTGGACAGTTGCTGGAATTTTGCGAGCTGTACTCTCAGCCTTCCATCTCGACAGCTTCACTGCTGTCACTAGCCGAGACTGCGGCTCCTTTTGTTTTGTCCTTGACGATTGTGTTAAGATTCAACAGCTCTCGGAGATAATGGTAATTGAAGTAATGCAACAATGCAGTAACAGGATTACTGAATGCAGGGGGAGAAAGGACAATGCCATGTAATATCATTTTTGAATTTTATCAGCGGCTTATGCTTTCAAGAGCCTCTGCATATATTTGTGTTTGAGGTGTCCCTTCACCTCTGCACCTGCTCAAGTCTCAAAATTATGACATTACCATTTAAGTATTACATTTTCGTAAATTAAGCACAGTGCATAGGAATCCTGTTAACATTGACAAATAAAATACATTTTATAAATCAATCAATGTCAAACTTTTTAAATCAAGTTTTGGGGTCATTTGTTTTTTTAAAGGTGCTTACCAAGACTGCATTTATTTGATGAAAAATAGAGTAAAATGGGTAATATTGTGAAATATTGTTTTCTATGTTAATATATTTTATTATTATGCAATTTATTCCTGTGATGGCAAAGCTGAATTTTCAGCAGCCATTACTCCAGTCTTCAGTGTCTGTTTAAAAAATAAAATAAAATAATCCCAAACTTTTGAATAGTAGTGTATATCAAGATTTTGTTACTGATCAACATTAATTTGAAGCTATTTGCCATTTTTAATCACCTTTTGCTTTTGCATAATAAATTGTCCTGCAGTGTGACAAATACATTTTTAAAAGTACAAATATTTCAAGTAAAACTGCATGAAAAGACTAATCTAACTAGTTGTACTAATTTTGCTAATTTGCTCTCACACACACACACGCACACATATGTTTGTTTCTGTGAATTGTGGGGACTTTCCATAGACTTTTTTATTACTTTTATACTGACCAAACGATATTTTTTATCCCCTAACCCTAAACCTACCCCTTACAAAAAACCTGTTTGCATTGTTACACTTTCAGATAAACATAATTTACTATTTTTAATATTTTTTTCCCAAATGTCAAAAATTTCAGGTTTTACTATCCTTGTGGGTCCCCACAATGTAGCATAAATAAGTACACACACACATGCATACACAAATTTATAAGTAATAAACAATAGCAAAATGCTGTTTAAACTACTTTTTAGTACAGCATGAACATGCTGCAGGACATGAGAACCTCACAAAATTATTTCATGTTGAATACCCATATATTAAAAAGTGAACATTATTGTCTTTTGATTTGATTAACTATAAAATAATAATGACAATAATAAGGAAAATATTTGCTAATTCTGACCAAAGCAAGACTTCTAATGGGTGTCTGTGTTTAACCCATGTGTGTCAAAGCTCAGGTCATGTGTGTCTCTGGCTTGTATCAGTATTCTTCTAAGCATTCTGGCTGGGTCGGCCCAGCACCGCTCTCACACACTCGGCTCTTTGTCCGGTTCCAGACTCTTTGTGGTGTGCCGAGTGACTGACCTCAAACAAAGGCCTGTTTGACCAACACTTGCTCACTGACAAAGCTGGACAGAGGAAGTGCCATAGAAATCCCGCAAAAGACTCAGAGACACTTCTCACACTGTGTGTCCTCCAAACCCAAGCATTATGTATTTCTCTCTGCCTCGCCA